GCTAGTTCCAGGACAGACCCCAAAGCTACAGAAAAACCCTGTCTTGAGAAAAAGAGCTTACTGTGTAGTCCAGACTGGCCTCGAATTCACAGAGATTCACCTGCCTCTGTCTCCTGAGTGTTGGGATTAAAGGAATGCACCACCATGGCCACCTGGTCATACTTTATAGTCAGATATGTTTAACTATTCTCTGGAATTACTATATTATCATATCTGCCAAAAAGTTTATTTAAAAATGTTGTTAGCTGGGCGATGGTGACACACGCCTTTAATACCAGCACTCGGGAGGCAGAGGCAGACAGATCTTTATGAGTTTGAGGCCAGCCTGGTCTACAAGAGCTAGTTTTCAGGACAGACTCTAAAGCTACAGAGAAACCCTGTCTCAAAAAAGAAAGTGTATATACTTACTTTCTTGGATTGTTTGAATTTAAACAGAGAACGCCTAGGATATATGATTTCAAGGAGATATTCTTATCATTTTATGACAATACTAATGTTAATTCTTTTCTCATTTTCCTAGGAAAAGTGGGTTGAAGTTGCTTCAATGAAAGTGCCCAGAGCAGGCATGTGCGTTGTGGCGGTCAATGGTCTCCTGTATGTTTCTGGAGGCCGCTCTTCTAGCCATGATTTCTTGGCCCCCGGTACCTTGGACTCAGTTGAAGTTTATAACCCTCATTCAGATACATGGACAGAAATTGGTAACATGATCACTAGTCGCTGTGAAGGTGGTGTTGCTGTACTATGACACAGAAAACATAAAAGTACAAGTAGCGTTTGGAAATGTAGGTTCTGACCTGTTGTAAATCAAACTTGTGTTTGTGATGTGACCCTCGGATTCTTTTGAGGATATGTATTGAATAGATAGATAAGAGTGATTTTTTTCTAAAGTTTGAATGTGAATAAATATGGAATATAAATAAAGAACTCATAAATTTGTAAAGCTTAGCAACAATAGGAATGGTATTTATGTCTTACAGTTATTCAGTTATCAATATAATCCTAATTGTAAAAATTGTTTGCTTAGAAACTTCTTGGAAATAGTGCCTTTGGCTACTTCTCTAGTGCAGTTCCAGTTGTAATATAGCCTGTATACAAGAAATTATCATCTCTGAGACAGCTGAAAGATTTCTATTATAATTCACAATTTAGTCCAGAACATAGTTTCCATGATGTGATTTAACCTATAGAGAAAAGCTAGCGAAACTGTACTTCAATGGCAGGACTTTTCACCATCCCCAGATAAAAGCATTAGACTACTAGGAAGGACATATAGTAAATATCCATTTGGATTTTGTTTATTTGTTTTTGAGACAGGGTATCTCTACATAGCTCTGGCTGTTCCAAAACTTTCTACATACACCAAGCTGGCCTCAAAGGCACAGAGATTTGCTTGCCCCGCCTCCCAAGTGCTGGGATTAAAGGTCTATGCCACTATGCCCAGCATATCTAGCTATTTAGATAGATAAGCTTCTGCTTTTGATAGTCTGAGAGATTTTACAACTCATATTTTTTGTTTTGATTAAGAATACAAATAAGGAACTTGTGAAAGTCCTTCTTTTTAAAATTTATATGGATGTGTGTATGTGTGTCTACTTGTCTATGGGCACCATGTGTATGCAGATGCCTGCTGAGGCCAGAAGAGGATGTAGTATCTCCTGGAACTGGGGTTAAGGTGCTGCCTGATGTGGGTGCAGGGTACTGAACGTTAGGTCCTCTGAAAGAGCAGCAAGTACTTCTAACTTTTTTTTTTTTAAAGTTTATTAAATTATAAAAGTTTCCATTTCCGCCCCTCCTCCCAACACCCTCCCACTTCCCCCACTCCCTCTCCTCCTCCCTCTCCATCCCTAAGAGTAGTCAGGGTTTCCTGCCCTGTGGGAAGTTCAAGTTCCTCCCCCCTCCCTCCAGGTCCAGGAAGGTGAGTATCCAAACAGACTGGATCCTGTACTTCTAACTTTTGAGCCATTTCTCTAGTCCCCTTTGATGACAGTTGACTTTTTAAAAATATGTGAGTTTTGTCTGGGATTTGGCATTATAGATGGTTTTAAACTGCCTTGTGGTTGCTGGGGTCTTCTTCAAGAGCAGCCAGTGTTCCTAACTGCTGAGCCATCTCTCCAATCTTTAGGTAAGTTCTTGGTTGAAATAGTGTGCAATGGGGATAAGAATTCCCAAGGCATTATTATGTGCTTAGAAGTTTCTTCTTTATTTTCTAGATAGTCACCAAAATTATCTATTTAGTTTTAGGAAGAGGTGCTGTTGTTAGATTATTAAGCTTTGTTTAATTTACTTGTACTTGGATAAGCCTTTGTAACAGCTTAGTGTAGTGCTACTGCCTGGTGGCTTGGAAAAAGCTGAACTTTAGTTACAACTTTTTATGTTTTGTTCTTTGTTGGTTTTGATTGTCTGTTTTTGTTTTGGGGATAGTCTCACTATGCAGCCCAAGTTATCCTTGAATTCTCAACAGTGTTCCTGCTTCAGCCTTGTGAGTGCTGGGTAACAGGTAAGAGCCATCATACTTGGCTCTGTAGGTACACCTTTGAGCATCTTTAATCTGAAATCAGAAAAGTTTTGAATGCTGACACTCAATGCAAAAAAATACTTTCAATTTGTTTCATTTATTTCTGATTTTCAGAATAGGGATGCTCAGCTGATAAATGCTACATAAATAGTCTAAAACCTGGTGTATTCTGAAGTCCAAAACACTTCCAGTCCCAATCTTTTCAGATCTTTATCAGGGATTTAACCTGTCCACGTGGAATTTTTAGACAAATGTAGTGTGAGTTATAACTACCTTGGATCTAAAACTGCTTCTGAAACTTGTTTCCCCTGATATCATTCTTAGGAATGTTTTATGCTGAATTCTGAAGGCTGTGATCACTACTTTTATTTTTGCAAGCCAGTTAGAGCCACATTATTAAGGGTTTGCATGCTTTCAGTTTAACTGGCTGCCTCAAGGTTATGATTTCTCATTTAAGGTCTTTCAGTTTATTGTTAGACACATCAACACCTTATTAGATTAAAAAAAAAACCCCTTTGATCAGCATTAAACCTGTTATACAGCACAGACAGAAAGCAATGCCTCCTTCTGTGAAATAGCCTGAACGTTTGAAGTTAGGATCTAGATGTCAGAGAATGAATACCAAGTAGATTCAAGTCTAGTTAAGCTAACTCATGTGCTCCTATTGTTTAGAGAATGTGCTTTTTGGTTCAAAACAGATTCACAAAATACCAGTTCAATTCTCATTATTGCCCAGTACCAGACAAAAATGGCAAGGGATATGATCTCTCTCTCACACACACATATGCCTGTGGCAGAAATGAAATATCAAGACATTCAGTATTTGGTATTTATGTATGATCAACTCAGAAGTTACCTGAAAAGTTCATTAAATGTGTATTATTTCCCAGCCCCCAGCCCGGGTTTTTAAGTTAAAATCCAGGGTGTTAGGTTAGGGATGTATTGCTCAGTAGCAGTGCTAATAGCATTTATGAAGCACAGGTTCAATTTCTAGGAGGAAAAGAAAATCAAACAAACAAAGCAAAGCAATACTTTTTTGCCATTATTTTATGTTTATTTGAGACAGGGCCTTTCTATGTAGCATTGGCTGTCCTGTAACTTGTAAATAGATCCTTCTGCCTCTGGATTAAGGGTGTAGTCCAAAACACCTGGTTGTATTATAAATTTGTGTGTGTGTGTGTGTGTGTGTGTGTGTTGTTCTTTTAGACAGGGTCTCCTTGGCTATCCTGGTACTCTTAAAAAAAAATCTTAAAAAAAAAAGGCTTACACATGCAATTTCCAATGGTAAGTGCTATACAAATTGACAAAAATACCTTTATTTTCAGGGTGTCATGGACTTCCTAATGAAGTAGGAGTATTCTTTTCATGAAATGACTTCATACTTAATAGACTCTAATAGATTTTTCAATTTGTCTTTTATTGCTCTCAATATAATCCAAACACTGAAATGTTTAAATAGACGACTACAAAATTCACAAAGAGATGTAAACTAACCTCATGACACAATAAAGGATTAGATTTTTCAAGATGAATTACTTAGAAAATAATATTTAGAATCCCAGCACTTGGGAGGCAGAGGCAAGCAGATCTCTGCGAGTTTTAGGCCAGCCTTGCCTACATATCAAGTTCCAGGACAGCCAGAGTTGTTAGTGAGACAAACAAACAATTTGTTTTGTGTGTTGTTTGTCCAGACAGGGTTTCTCTGTGTGGCCCTGGCTATTCTGGCACTTGGTCTGTAGGCCAGCCTGGCCTTAAATTCAAAGATCCACCTGCTCTTGCCTCCTGAGTGCTGTAATTAAACACATGGGCCAACATCACTTGATTAAAAGAATTTTTAGAAATGAAAAAAAAAAAAAAGTCCATGAAGAATAAATTCCCAACAGTGGGAGGAAAAAAGAGCTAAACAAGGAACCCAAGTGTGATGCTAACATGCAAGTGTATAAGCGAGAGATAAAGGGCTCAGGCTCAGTGGTCAAGACCATGTATTTTATGGACTCAAGTTTAATTCCCAGCCAGATGCTGAGAGGCTCAGAACTGCCTGTCTGTAACTCCAGCTCCAGGGACTCCAATACCCTCTTCTTGTCTCTGAAGGCAGTGTACTCTGTGAACACATGTCCCATGACATAACTGAAAAAAAAAATTCTGCAAGTTTACAAGACTTACAGCCAAGTGGCAAATAATACAATAATGTAGTTTAGGTGGACTTTTCAGTCCCACCAGCCACTCCCAAATAATCACACAGAGACTTAATATTATAAATGCTCAGCTGATAGCTTAAGCTTGTTTTTTAGCTAGCTCTTATAAATTAGCCATTTATATTAATCTATGTGCCCCAGGCTCATTTACCTCATGTACTTACTTCCCATCCTGCTTCCTCTAAGTCTCATGGCATATACTCTACCCTTCTCCCCAGCATTCTTGGTCCCCAAAATCCTGCCTAGCCAGCAGCCAATCAGCTCTTTATTAACAATGAGAGCAACACGTCTTCACAGTGTACAGAACAGAAGGATTATTCCACAGCAAAGTAGTTTTATTTTTCTACATCAGCAAGTCTCTTGGGCCCTTTTTCTGGGTAAATACTTTTAAGTATTAAAGTGACTACAAATGAGAAAAAAGCCACTAAAGTACTTACTATTCTCAAGGCTTTGAACCAGTTGGGATAATGTGGCAAGAGGAAAAGTTCATTGTGTAATGCTATACCTAAACCTATTATTACTATGACAATGGCTTCACTGAGTCTTTCAGAAAAGAGGACGGCTACCCATGAAAACAGAAGAGGACTCACACTACTAGCTAAGTTAATGTAGTCTGGTTTGGCTGGACTGCTTTCTGGCAGGGCAAAGCCCCATCTAACCCCTCCCAAGAAAGCTAGGAACCCGGCTCCATAAGCCACCTGAGTAAACGCTAATATGGGGATATAAGACTTTGTTATGACCATGGTGAGTGGTGGAGCAATAAAGGGGACTAACCCCACCAGACTTATGTATAATGCTGGCTTTGGGCTATCAGGTAGGTACGTGATGCTTGGTGTCCTGGAGGGAACAACTGCTTCCTTCTGCTGTCTTTTAAAGTTGCATGGTGATACATGATAGCACTGTATGTTGTTCATACACACTTGAAATGATGTCGAAAGCCAAGTCCTTGGCGACAAAGGGGAAAGGTTCTGCTGAAACGATGTCTTGGGAGAAAGTACATCTATTCTGCTGGCTCTGAGTCTCACTGTAAAAGGGTACTTCAGCATCTATAAAGGTAAAACAACCAAGAGACAAAGTTTAAAAATAAGAACATGTACACTGACATACACGCAGGAGGCAAAACCCCATACACATATAATTTGGGGGTTGGAGTGATGTCTTGATGATTTAGAGCACTGACTGCTCTTCCAGAGTATCCAGGTTTGATTCCCCATTCTACATGGTGGCTCACAATCAGCTGTAATTCTAGTTTCAAGGAGATCGGACACCCTTTCCTTGCCTCCACATGCACTGTATACAATGGTACATATATACACATTAAAAAAAAAAATCTAGCCAGGCGGTGGTGGCACACGCCTTTAATCCCAGGCAGAGGCAGGTGGATCTCTGTGAGTTCGAGGCCAGCCTGGTCTACAAGAGCTAGTGCCAGAACAAGCTCCAGAGCCACGGGGGTGGGGGGTGTTCTAGCAGCTCCTCGCCCTTGCTCTTGGAGAGTTCCAGTATGGAGGCCCACATTAGTGACGCCCGCCACGAGCCGAATAGACCAATGGGGGACCCTTCCTCAGAGAAGCTTAGCACTCCACCTGTGTCCCCGCGGCCTCAGAACGAAATCTGTGAACCTATCGTGCTCCACATGGAGACCTGGGTGGCAAAAAGGATCTTTGCCATTAGAGCCGTTCAATGGCAAGATTTGGTTGACAGTGGACACTGTCAAACGTAGCTGAAATCAGCATATATGGAGAATCCTCTCTAAAGCGTCAAATGAAAAATGTTCTCTTGCACATGGAAGCAAACCATAAAAAAGACAAAGAGCTTGGACGATGAAAGAACTTGAGGAATTCTTGACGAACCATTCCCCAAACTCAAACCACCCTCAAGAACCGAGGGAAGAGGCATTTGCTGATTGACAGGCAGACCTATTTTCAGCCCGTGGAGGTGAAGAGAAACAGAATCTTAAAATCTCCCCATTTGTTTTCTTTCTTGCCTTTGTGGATGCCTGTTTGTTTTCATTTCTACAAGTAACAATTTGTAAAACTATTCAAATATAAAAATGACCTTTTTTTGGCCTGTTAGTTTCATCACATACAATAAAAAAAACTTATAAACATCAAAAAAATCTAAAAAATTATTTTTTTAAAAAAGAGAATTATTTAAAAATTAAAAAGGAACAGCTATTTAAGAGTCTTGGTAAGCCTTCAAAAACATGCTAAGAATGATCTCATGTTGGCCTTTATTCCTTTTGTCTCCAAAAGGAGGATGCTTTTCCTTCAGCTACCTACATGGCCATTCCTTCATTTCTGACCCTTCTATTTATGTTATAAAATCCTGTCTATTATTTTCTGGTAGGACTTATTCTTGTGTGTGGGTGGGTGCCCTTAGACTTCAAGTCTTTTAGAGCTGGAGTAACTGGTTGTAAAACCACCCAACATGGGTGCTGGGATCAAACTAAGGCCCCAGTAGTATGTGCAAGGCCGAGCTATCTCTCCTGTTCCTGTCTGTTGTCGATATTCCCTGTTCTCCTTCCCTAATGTACAGTTCTCCACAACAGTTTCTACTTGACATAGTAAATATCTTATTTATGCACAATCTACTCATTGTTCTCCTTCCTCACTAGAATACATGAGGTGTGTGTGTGTGTATATATTTGCCCTAGTCAGACAGTTATTGACAAATAGTGCTCAACTAACCTTTGAAGAGGCTCCAGAAAATTTCTGGATGAAGTGAAGCATACTGGTCTCTATTCAGTTTTGTTCCAGAAGATGCAGTGCTGATTAATATATTGTGCAGCTGAGTGGGATAGCTGAATTTGAAGCAAAGGTGCTTATACAGAAAACAGCATATCACTTTGTTGTCCTTATTTTATACATTAATTTTACAAAAGTAATAAATCATAAGAATCTCAATAGAACATGATTTCTTTTGAAAATAATTCTCAAAGAGTAACATTAAGGAAATACGATCCCCCCCCCAATTTTAGTTTGGCTGTCCAAAAAGAGCAATGTGCAGAAACTAAACATCTGGATTTAGTAAACATCTTTACCATTTCCTTAGGTGCTAGTCTTATCTTTAAAACTCACAGTCATAACTTTTGTTCCCATTAACTATCGTCTTTAATTATTGTCTACTTCAGAGCTTAGGAATTTTTACACTTACAATAATGATAGCAGCCACAAATATAGCTTAGTTGTGAACCAGGCAAGGTAACTACATGTTTTACATATATTAACTGTATACCTTTTAGAACTCCATAATCACTGTACCACGTTGTTTTCCAATTGCGAAGTATGTAAAGAAAGTGTTAGGCTGAAGCCTCGGCAGGTGATGCAGATTAAGGACAGAAAGCCCAATCTACGTGAAAACGATCAAATATTTTCATGTCGTCAATGCAATAACCACACTGAACGTCTCAAGCCATTTTTGAGATAGGAGCGGAATTTAGGAGCAAAACTTCTTGAGACGTCTAGGCTGACAATACATCTCCTATTTACCAGCTCTTAGTGACCCCCGCCCCCACCTCCTGCCCACAGCGTACCCTTCATAGTCCTTATACATACTTTCCACCATCACGCGGCGTAAGATCTGAACAACAAATTCAATCAGAAAGAGAACTTCCGGCGACTGGACTCACACAACCCCACTTCCTGAGATCAGAAAAATGCGTCCGGGTGGCAACTTACTACAGCAAGTTCTGACTCTCCTCTTTCCGTTTGGGGGCGCTTCCCTCCCTCAATTATTTTATATTATTTTTATATTTGGGTGTGTTCGTGTACTTGAGTGCACGTGCGCACTAAGACCAGAGGTGCGGATCCCCTACAGTATAGATGCTGGAAGCTAAACTCGAATTCTCTGTAAGAGCAGTAAGCGCCTTTCATCACTGAGCAGCCTGCAGCCCCGGGGATTAGTTTAAAATTTAATTCTAATTGATGTCGACTTCAAGGTACTTTACTAGTCTCTATTCCAGGATTCGTAAACAGCATACTATATCTAGCAGTTCAGGAAGGTAGGGTACAATTTTTGAAACAATCCCATTAATGGTAGCGGAAGGAGGTAGGAGGAGACTTAGAGTTAGACCAATTAGTATCCACGGAATTTTTTTTTTTTTTTAAGACAAGGTATTAGTGTGTTACTCTGCTGGCTTGGAACGTTTAACTTTGCGAAAAACAACGGGGTTTTGCAGAAATGAAAAAAAAAAGTCTTCCTGTTTTTGCATTTGAGTCCTTTATTACTTGTACTGGGCAGGAGTGGAGGGACGAGTCTGTGTTTACGTCCACTCTCTTTACTATTACCTAGAAGTTACATTGAGAAAGAGAGGCCTAGGTGCAAAATGCACACTGAATTAAGGGCCTTGGGCTTGGATGTAATCCAGGAAGTCTTTTTTTTTTTTTTTTAATTTATCCACTGTGCGATTTCGTGCCTCCCATCTGCCGTCAGCCAGCCAAAACAGGCACCAAGCAATTTGAGCGTTTTTGGATCTTTGTGCAAAAAGCTGAAAACAAATAGGAGCTCACTTACTTAGGGGCTCACTGTGGTCAATTCCTCCACTCCTCTAGGTACTACAACATGAAGAAGTTTTAGATTCTAGAAGTGAGAGACGCGGCTGGCTACCGAGGCCTTCACGTTCATCCACTTCTCTGGTCTGGTTGCACCGCCCTTTCCTGTCGTTCAATACCTAATGAAGTGTTAGTAGACCCAGGAGTCTATTAGCAAAGACCGTGCTGGACTAGAATTCCAACCCACGCCCGGGTGGCTCCTTGACGCCTGCAACGCCCAAGAACTACAACTCCCGGCAGGTAGCGCGCCCGACACCGCTGCGCATGCTTCTAGTGCTAGGTGGGGGGGTCTATGGCACGCCAAAAGGGCTGGAGTCTCAACGACGCGCGCACGTGAAAGGAGGAGCGAGAGGTGTGCAGGTGTCGGAAAACACGCCCTTCCGTAACTGCTTTGCTAGTTCTAGTAGTTAGCGAAGTATCTATCTGGGTTACGCGTGAGGTGTGAGAAGGTGAAGAAAGAATGGGCGGGGAAGAACTGGTACAAATAGACCCGCCCATGTTCACGTGCTCCCAAGCCGGACTCCCGGCGGGGAGCTTTAAGGGGAAGTGCTGAGTGCGGCTGGTCCCCGCCTCAGGAGCGGCGCGAGAAAGGCGAAAGGCTTCGCGGAAGGGCGAGCCGGCCACCCCGCTGCTGCGCTGAAGGGCGCCGGGGCGGAGCGGGGCGGGGCATAATCGCTGTGGGAGCGGACCAACACTCCCTGAGCAAGCGGCGGGCGCCCGCGCAGGGTCACCGTGGCATGGTGGTGCGCCTGCGCGTGCGCCTTTGCTAGTGGGCGTGTGGGAGGCGGGCCGGAGCGGCAGGGGGCGGGCCCAGCTGGTCGCCGCTCCTCCTCCGCCCGCTCTGCCCCCTCCTGGGCCTTGTGGGCCGGGCAGCCATTTTGGGAAGAGCTTTGTTATGGTTGTGGGCTAGTCACCTCTGCTGGTCGGAGAAGCTAGGGACGCCTTCTTAGACGTCGCGACTCGCCCTTGACCGAAGCCCCGCCGCTGCCGGGTGAGTGCGAGTTCTGCACATCGAGCAGAAGTGGCCCTCGAGTCGTCCGGCACGGGCTCTGCCGGCTGCCCGGCTGGCCGTCTAGGAAAACTAGTTGGAAGAAGGTCTTGCACAGGTGGTTGGTGTAGGTCCGCCCGGGGTGGGCGAGAGGAAGTGGGAGTCGTCCCGTTGGAACGGCCCCCTCCCCCCAACGGGAGGAGCCTTGCACACTAGCGTCGCCGCGGCGGTTCCAGAGCGCTCCGACTTCAACTTCGGTCCTGGGTCGGAAACGCTCACCTGCGGCTCCGGCTCCTTTCCAAGAGTTCCGGCTTGGTAGTGGTGGAGTGATTTCGTTAACTCCTTTCCTTCCCTTTCCTTAAAATAAGAGCCGAAGGCTTCTGTTTTCCAGTTAAGAGAAACTTAACAAGGGAAGTCGTGTAAGTCAAATGTGGGATATCTAGGGGAAAGGGAACTTTGACGCCCTGAGTTCGGGTTCTCCGGGTTAGTGAGACCTTTTCCCTTCTCCGGGTTAGTGAGACCTTTTCCCTCCGATTGTCTTACCAGCCATCTACCAAACTCCGTCCCATTGGGAAGGAGGACTGATTGGTCTTGAAGTCGCTTGAATAGTCATTTTTATTCCATGCTAAATCTCCTCAGCCTATAAAATTAAAAAAAAATAAAAACAACTGAATCTAAAATGGCTGTAGCCTGAGGAAGCACCCTGTTTAAATGCTTAAATACAATAACATTTCGGTCGTTTTTCCCTATGGGACGTTAACTGGCCCTTTTTGCAGTTGGCTTCTATGGAGCTAGTAGGTGAAAACAAAGGTGAGGTTCAGGAAGTTTACTTCTAAAGTTTACATAAGAATGGGTGCGGTTTTTTGTTTTTGTTTTTTGGTAGTAGCGAATACTACTGAAATTGTGCTGTGGTACCAGTTTTGTGTGCCCATTTTGTGTCTGAGGTTAGCTTGTATAATGTGAGTAGTTTAACTTTGATATTTATTGCTTACTTGGAAAACCTGAAGTTAGCTCATGGTTTTTTTGCTTAGTAATAATCCGTTTTCCTCTGTAAATCTCGTATAAAAACAGTGCGTGTTTGATCTCAGCAGACCGAAATTTGTAGTTTGTTGGAGATCTCCTGTTATTTTAAGGTCGTTTTCACCTCATTCCACGAAAGGTATGAGGTGTGTGTAAAATAACAATTTTGCAAATGAAATAAATAGAAAAATGATTTTGCAAGTGAAAACCTTCAGAAGTGGAATGCCAGGTGGTTGTACTTTTTTTTTTTTAAAGTCCACTTTCTGTTGGCTCAAAACAAACAGAAACCCCGCACAGTCGGAAGTGTAACAGAAACAACAGCAAATTTTAGTTTTTGGAAAAGTTGTGATTGAATTACCTATTCAAAAAATAAAATAGAATGCTAATTGTGAATGGATCGATAAAATCCATTCACAAGATAATCCAATCTTCCAGAGAGGTGGTTTCAATTAATTTCATATATTCTTTCAAACATTCCTGTTCTCCTGGGAATTTTATTATTTTATGCGTATGGGTATTGTGCGTGCATGTATGTCTGAGTACTGTGTACATGTACATGCAGGTCCTACTGAGGTCAGAAGAGGGCATTGGATCCGTTAGATACGGTGTCCGGCAGTTGTGAGATGCCATGTGGGTGCTGAGACTCAAACCTGGGTGCTCTGGAAGAGAAGCCAGTGCTCTTGGGTTTTTTGTTTTTATTTTGTTGTTCTTCCAAGAAAATCATGTTAAGTTCTTTTCAGAAGTGACAAGTTCTGCGTTCTGTTTGACAGTATTTCTTACAGCCCTCGGGAGAGGCCTCACTTGAAATTCACCTGAACTCTACTTCTGAGGGGCCCTTTGTTCTTCTCGACATTCTTTCAGTTGATTATGGTGTGCTTTCGGAGTTCTTGAAATTGGGGAAAGGGAATGGGAAGCCTTTATTTTGAATTAATTTAACAATTTTTAAAACGATTTTTTGTGTACAGTGTTCTGCCTGCATGTATGCTACAGGCCAGAAGAGGGCAGCAGGTCTCATTACAGGTGGTTGTGTGCCACATGTGATTGCTGAGAATTGAACTCAGGACTCAGGACCTCTGGAAGAGCAGCCAGTGCTCTTAACCATTGAGCCATCTCTCCAGCTCCTAATTAAACAATTCTTATCTTTGATTGTTTAAAGTCTTAGTTGAAGAGAAGGGTACTTTCAGCCATTTCAATATATGTGTGTGGTAAGAAATCTTGAAATGTATTTCTGTGTGTATACATGTATAAGTATATACATTTTTTTGACAGTCTCACTATGTAGAGCAGTGGTTCTCAACCTTCCTAATGCTTCAGTAATTACTAATTTCTGAATTTGTACAGTACTTCCCAATATAGTTCCTCATGTTGTGGTGAGCCCCAGCAATAAAATTTTATTTCTGCTTCATAACTAATTTTTTCTGCTATTATGAATCATTATGTAAATATCTCATGTGCGACCCTTATGGAGTTCATGAGCTCCAGGTTGAGAACCCCTGATGTAGAGCCATGCTGGTCTGGAACTCACAGAGATCCACCTGCTTCTTCTACCTTTCCAATGCTGGAATTAAAGGTATGCACCACCACATCCGGCTACTTTTTATTTTCAAAGTGGGGCATTGAATTCAGAGTCTAGTGCATGCTACAAGCATACTGTCACTGTTCTATATACCACCAATTTACTTATTTATATTATTTTATTATTTAACCTTAGAAATGTTTTGTCTGTATGTATGTATGTGCACCACATGTATATGTGATGTCCTTGAATGTCTGAGGAGGGTCTTGGATCCCCTAGGACTGGAGTTACAGTTGGTTGTGAGCTACAGTGTATGTTCTTGTAATTGAACCCAGGTTCCTCTGCAAGAGTAAGTGCTCTTAACCACTGAGTCAAATCACTAACCCCTATAATTTATTTATTTATTATTTTTTTCAAGGCTGGGTTTCTCTGTATAGTCCTGACAGTTCTGGAACTTCTTCTTTAGACCACTGACTTCGAACTCAGATATCCACTTGCCTTTGCCTTCCAAATGCTAGGATTAAAGTCGTGTGCCACCACCACTCAGTTCTGTGCAGTTTTAAATCCTCATTGAAGTTAAAACACAAGGGCTGGAGAGATGACTCAGAGGTTTAGAGCCCTGACTGCTCTTCCAAAGGTCCTGAGTTCAATTCCCAGCAACCACTTGGTTGCTCACAACCATCTGTAATGGGTCTGGTGCCCTCTTCTGGCCTGCAGGCATACACGCGGACAGAATATTGTATACATAATAAATAAATATTTTAAAAAAAGAAAGTTAAAGCAATTCTCAATCTTTCAGAAGATAACTTATCTTAATTTTATGGTTTAAGACTAATGTGTCAGGGAGAGACTGCTGCCCAGGTTTTGTTTTGTTTTTTTTTTGTTTGTTTGTTTGTTTTCTTTTTCTTTAAGGCAAGGTTTTTTTTCTGTGTAGTTTTGGCTTCCCTGAAACTCATTTTGAAGACCAAGCTGGTCTCACAGAGATCTACCTGCCTCTGCCTCCCAAGGGCTAGGATCAAAGGCGTGTGCCACCTTGTCTAGCTCAAAGTGCTTTCTATTTATTGAATTAATTACTTTGTGATGGTAATATGGGTTTTTTTTGGTTTTGTTTTTTTGTTTTTGTTTTTGCCTTTCTGATACTGAAGATTGATTGAACTGAGTGCTTTTTGGATGATAACCAAACACTCTTATACTTAATTGTATCCTTAATGTTATTTGAGACTAGGTCTCACTAAGTTGCTATAGCAGGTCTTGGATTGTGAACCTACTGCTTTGCCTCCTCCTAAGTAGCTCTGATTTTATGTGTACAATTTCATGACATGCCAAGCAGTTTTTTTATTCTTTACTTTGCAGTTGAGAAAAATGAGGCTAAGATTCATTTATCTACTAGCCAGTTGAGGCCACAAAAACCTAAGTGGACTGTCATGGTGCTTGACTTGTTTTGTGTGTGTGTGTGTGTCTGTGTTGTGATCTTGTTGGTTGGTTGAGGGTTTTTGTTCTGTTGTGTTTTGTTTTGGACCTGGTCCCGCTCTGTAGTCCTAGTTGGCTTGGAATTTGCTGTGTAGGCATTAGTTGGCATCAAACTCAAGAGATCTGCCTGCTTCTGCCTCTAGTGCTTGAGTTAAAGTACATCTGACCTTAGTTGGTTTTTTTGTTTGTTTAGTTTTTGCATT